GGGGTTTCAGGCGGATACGGGATGACAATCAAGCATATGAAGTCATGTGACAAAGCTAAAGGATCGAGAGATGCGGGAAGTTCCGATTGATTACAATTTTCAAAATGTTTGTCTCTTAAAGTTTGTTTTAATTTTCAAATGTAGTTCCTATTTCATTTCAAATAAATGCACTTGAAGTTTGTTTTTAATACTCGTATAAAACTATAAACTATAAAATATAAATTATATAAAAAAAATTAACCGGCCCGGCCCGAACCGGACCCGTCCAACCATCGGGCCGGTCCCGGGCCCATGTCATACAAACCGGCGGCCCGACCCGGGCCCGACCCGGCCCGAGTCCATCACTATCTCGAACTAACCGAAAAAATGCAAATCACCTCTTTATAGGAGGCTCTGTCCGGCGATCGTCATTTGAAGCGGTTCCCCGTAGAATTTTTTGATGAATTTTTTTGAACATCTTCTTCATTAAGTCTAGTTTACTCATACTAAATTTCAGCTAAAAATGAAATAGTGAAAGCAATCAAATGAATGTTTGAAGATAACTGCGCAGTTAAACAACGCAGTATATTTCAAAAAATCATTTAACTGTCTTCTCGGTTGAATTTTTACCTGAAATTTGGTATGAGTAAACTTAGGGATGGATTCGGTTCGGGCCACCCAGCCCGTGACCCGGCCCGGCCCGGTACTGTGCGGGCCCGGGACCGGCCCGGTCAGGCGGTCCGGGACCGGGTCTGGGCCCGAACCGGGGGGAAGGGGCGGGGTGGGCTCGGTTCAGCAATTTTGTGAAAAAATTTGTAATGCTTTGATATATTTTAATAATGCAACTGAAACTTTTAGTCATGTTTATAAACCTACCTCAAACCAATTTATTCGTGAAGCTGTTAATCTCGCCGGTGCTTTTTCAAATTTTGAGAATGCTGATTATGTGAATTATTTTGCTGGTTTTATGAAGGAAAAGTTTTTAAAATATTATTCACATATTCCGCATATTTATGGTATTGCATTTGTTCTCGATCCTCGTTTTAGACTTGGTTCTTTAGAAGAATGTTTGAATTATTATTATGCTGCTTTTTTTGGTCCATTGCCAATGTATGAGGACAACCCAATTGATCCGAAAAAAGAATACAACGAGGTTAGTGATATATTTTATGCATTATTCAATGAGTTTCATGCACAATATGGCAATGCGCCCCCTCCCCCGACACAAACATCATCTAAAGGAAAATCAATTTTCAAATCTACGTTTGCCAATCTTATTAAAAAAACAAAATCAACTCCCGCTACACAACAAAGCACAATTAATGAGATTTCTTTGTATTTAACTTATGATGTTGATTTTGAAGAAGATGATGATTTTGACGTACTAAACTGGTGGAAGGGAAAAGAAAGAATGTTCCCGGTTTTAGCAAAGATGGCTAAGCAAGTGCTATCAATGCCGGTTTCAACGGTTGCCGTGGAACAAGAATTTAGTTCGGCCGGCAATGTTCTAACACAAACCAGAACGAGGTTGAGCGCTGAATCTCTTGAGATGCTTATATGTTACCACGATTGGTTGAAAGCAGCACGTAGAGCTCAAGAAATTGACATCACTCCATCACAACACTTTATGGATGAATCTACAGAGGGTGGCTCTACTTATGTCGGAGATTCCGATTAAAAACAATTATAGTTCCTATTTAATTTTCAAATGTAGTTCCTATTTCATTTCAAATAAATGCACTTGAAGTTTGTTTTTTAATACTTGTATAAAACTATAAAGTATAAAATATAAATTTAAAAAAAAAAATTACCCGGCCCGGCCCGGCGGGTGGCCCGACCCGTGACCCGGGCGGGTGGCCCGGCCCGAACCGGACCCGTCCAACCCTCGGGCCGGTCCCGGGCCCACTATTCTAGAACCGGCGGCCCGACCGGGCCTAGGCCCGGCCCGAATCCACCCCTAAGTAAACTAACCTTAGTGAAAAAGATGATAAAAACATTCATAAAAAAATTCCACCGGTAACCGCCCCAAATAATGATGGACAGACAGAGCCTCCTATAAAAGGGGTGATTTGCACTTTTTCAATTAGTTTGAGAGCTTATTTGCACCTTTTCCCTCCAATCGGTTAAAATGATACAGATTTTTAAAATGATACCCCATGGTTCTTATGCAAAATGTGAGACCCCGGAACCCCCTTTTTTTATTAAAAAAAGTGATTGTCAGAGATATGTGACCACATCCATCCACCGTTCATTGCACATGTAACTTCGAGAGCTCATTTGCACAGTCCAATTCCAATAATACATTCTACAGTATGAAAAAGATCAGAAGCTTCTACTTGTCCCTATCCTTTTGTCGAGCTTGTGGATAATAATAGTTCTACAATAATGTCGCAAGACAGAAGTAAGCAGTAGTCCTATTTTGCAGTATCAGCGGATTGCTAACATATGCCCTGACGTCATGGTCTCACAGTACGTGGATTTCTCCCGGTTCTACTGCAGCCAGTATAGTATATAAAGAGAGGATAACTTAGCTCTGGACACAACACAACCCAACCCCAAGCAAACAAACCATCCAACTAACAATGGCAGTCCTAACACAGCAGCAGCAGCTCCATTTCATCTTGATCCCATTCATGGCTCAAGGCCACATGCTCCCCATGATAGACATATCGAGACTATTGGCACTCCGGGGTGTTAAGGTCACCATTCTCCTGACGCCCCACAATGCTGCCCGAGTTGAGCCTGTCATTTCTCGGGCTCAAGACTCTGGGCTCTCCATCCAAGTCATCCATCTCATCTTCCCGTGTGCTGAGGCGGCCCTACCGGCGGGATGCGAGAACTTTGACCTGCTTCCCTCTTTCGATATGGCAGCGAAATTCGTGGACGCCACGAACATGCTCCGACCCCAGGTCGAGGAGGTGTTGGGAGAACTGAAGCCCTCTCCCAACTGCATTATTGCCGACATGTGCTTCCCGTGGGCAACCGATGTTGCCCTGAAGCTTCACATCCCGCACATAGTTTTCCACGGGATGTGTTGCTTCTCGCTGGTGTGCGAGCACAACTTGAGAAACTGGGACAGGCTTGAAGGCATGGAGTCTGACTTTTACTTTGAAGTGCCCGGGCTGCCTGATAAGATTGAGATGACAAAAGCTCAGCTCGCAAATATGGCTACCCCACACTCCAAAGAATGGGGGAAGTTTATGGACCAGATCAAAGATGCAGAGAATAATGCATATGGGATATTGGTGAACAGCTTTGAGGAGCTGGAGCCGGAATACATAAAGGAGTTGGAGAGAACGAAAGGGAAACACGTCTGGACTGTTGGCCCTGTTTCTCTGTGCAACAAGGTAGAACCGGACAAGGGTGAAAGAGGAAACAAGGCGTCCATTGATGTGCATCATTGCTTACAATGGCTCGACTCCAAGCCAACCCGCTCTGTCCTCTTCGTCTGCCTCGGCAGCCTTTCCCGCTTGCCAACCCCTCAGATGGTAGAGCTTGGGCTTGCCCTCGAGTCATCTAAACGCCCCTTCATTTGGGTTATCAGGTACGTATGCATGTAGCTCCCCGCGGCCCCGCCTCAAAGGCTCAAATTACACACAGACACACATATACAATAGCTTCTTATTCAAGAATAATACAATCGTATTATATTAAGCAGAGAAACATTGTATTAATGTTTTAAGCAAGCATTTAGTTCGTACTTTGCATAACCAATATAAATAACTTTTGATGGATGTTTAACGAGCGCTGCCACACATGCAAGCATTATTAATGGTTGATTCATCAGGCACGTCTCTACTGAGTTTGGAAAGTGGCTTCAAGAAGAACAATATGAAGAAAGAGTTAAAGGGAGAGGGCTTATCATCCATGGTTGGTCTCCACAAGTTCTCATCTTGTCTCACCCTTCTCTTGGGGCATTCATCACTCACTGCGGATGGAACTCGACCCTTGAAGGGATCACTTCCGGCCTGCCATTGGTCACACTCCCACTATTCGCAGAGCAATTCTCGAATGAGAAGTTTGCAGTGAATGTGATCAAGACTGGAGTGAGAGTTGGAATGGAGGTTCCGGTCTTGTTTGGGATGGAGGAAACAGTAGGAGTCCAGGTTAGCAGAGATGAGATTATGCTGGCTGTTGAGAAGGTGTTTGATGAAGGAGAGGAAGGTGATATGAGAAGGAGAAGAGCGAAAATGCTCCAAGAAAAGTCATGGAGAGCAGTGGAGGAAGGAGGTTCTTCCTCCCTCAACATTGCCAAACTCATTCAAGATGTTGCTGGTTGGAGAGAGGAATGTTAATTAACTAATCAATTAATGTATTGCTTTCCCCTTCATTTTTATTTTAAAAAGCATTGTTTCTCTACTAATAAATGCGTACTATTTCACCTCAAAGATTTGTGCGCTTCAGTATGTTTATGTGTTCTTCTAACCCTCCATGAAAACTCTCTCAAACCAAAGTCCTTTATTATGCCCCATTAATATGTTGCATTGTTGCTCATCCATTCAAATTTAGTACCATTTTAATAACTTTTTTAGTTTATCAGCCTCATCGGTAATGATGGACGAGGCAGATATGTGGTAAGATAAAAGTAAGCTCAATTTATACTAAGAGAGTTCACTGATTTGATACACACACACATATAGGACCCATTTGTTTTCAAGCATTTTGCTGCCTACATGCTGCATTTTGCAGCGTTTGTAGTTGAATAAAATCAGCGCTTCGTTTAAAACGCTATTATCCAAACGGGGCCATATTAGCTTTCTTTGCGCAATGCGCGAGGGTTAGTGCCCATCTATTGATAAGGTGAAAGAGCATTAAAATGGTTTACAAGTGATTGGCATAAAGAAATTACTCTACAAAATTGAGTACAACAACAACAACATCCAAGCCTTAGTCCCAAAAGATATTGAGGTCGGCTAACATGAATCGATACATGATATCACAACCAAAAGGAAAAGAAGGAATAAAGATAAAAAGATAAGCTATTATGAAAAGATAATATAAAAAAAGATGAATATATATAAAAATGATAAAATAAAAAGGCTGCAAATAATGCTTATATATATAAGGATAAAGATTATCAAGATCACTCCTTCACGTGAATACCCGCCCTCCACTTAGTTCTCTCCAAAGTCATGCCCTCATCCAACCCCAGAAGAAGCATATCACTTCGAACTCCCCTAACCCACGTCTGTTTGGGTCTTCCTCTCCCTCTCTTCCCTGCCTCTTCTCCACACATCTCAACTCGCCTAACAGGTGCATCACTCGGTCTGTTAGGCACATGACCAAACCACCGTAGGCGCGACTCCCGCATCTTGTCTTCAATAGGTGCTACTCCCACCCTTTGTCTGATTGTCTCATTCCTCACGCGGTCCTTTCTAGTATGCCCACACATCCAACGCAGCATGCGCATCTCAGCCACACTCATCTTTTGAATGTGACATTGTTTCACCGCCCAACACTCTACGCCATACAGTAATGCAGGCCTAATTGCTATTCTATAAAATTTACCCTTCAGTCTAGTCGGCATACCTCGATCGCATAGAAATCCTGACGCACTCTTCCACTTCATCCACCCTGTTCTGATTCTATGAGATACATCTCCATCTAACTCACCGTCCTTCTCTACAGAATTGAGTATATTTAATTATATCCAAACTAGACGTATATATTCGCCTATTTAAGGAATTTTCTCATTGGCGTATCCACATATCACACAAAAAATATGGGTGAAATATGAAGAAATATATTGTTAAAAAGAAAATATTAACCTTTTGACAGCATGAATCTGCTCAAAACAGTCGAGCTCTAAACAAGGCCAAAAACTGAGAAAAGAAAATTGACTAAACTGAAATGCGATAAATTGAACAGCCAATATATATAAAAGTTTATATGGGGGGAAATAATAACATAGCAATTTAGTGTGCCAAATTGCCAATATATGAGCAGATAGGATATGGAAAATAGGCGACAAGATTATCAGCCTTTACCTGATGAAATCTTGCGCTCTTGTAATTCTCAGAGAAGTTTTTCCTAATTGCCTACAAACTGCAATTGCAGACATTCAAAGTATATCGAATTTATATAAATCGTAAGCTTGTAATAGAGAAAGGAATATAAACAATTTCTCAAGAGATTAAAAATAGAGATTGAAAAATTCCATAATAGGATTAATAGAACCATCATTTTTTATAAAAATTATAAAATGAACCATTCATTCATATAGATTATTTCCTACTTTTATTCTTTTATAAAACTGAACGAGTTTTATTTGTTGGAAAATCAACGCTTGAGAAAACTGTTAATCTAACACATAATAAAGCTTAGCTATCAAACGTATATGGAGATGATCTGCATCATGCAATCTTTTCTTTTATTAATGGGGAAAAATCCGGTCAAGATCCAGATACAAAAAACCTCATACGCACGCCAATAAATAACCTATGTACAAGTCCATAACAACCTTCCATAACTTACTCCTAAGATCATGCATGTGTGGAGATATGGTTTCCATCACATGCACACGTACAGGAAATTAGTACACAAAAGAAATAACCTCCAAAAAAAAAAGGAAATAACAATATTAATATTTGAGTAAATAAAAAACAAGCTGTAACGTTCACATTCTCCCCCTTAAGCTTGTTTTTGCCCCTTGAACAGCCTTCACTCCAATTTTATCTCGCAGCTCAATAAACTTTTGTCTCCCAAGAGGCTTAGTTAAGATGTCTGCCAATTGCCCTTCCGTTTTGGTATGCTCAAGCTCTATCACTTCGTGTTCAACACATTCTCGAATGAAATGAAATTTGGTGTCAATGTGTTTGCTCCTTTCATGATAAACTGGATTCTTTGCCAGAGCTATTGCAGATTTATTGTCAATCTTTAGCAAAGGTTTTACCTGGTTTCCTCCATTTAAGCTCTCTATCATTTTCTCGAGCCAGATTCCTTGGCATACACTCCCAGTAGCTGCTATATATTCAGCTTCGCAAGATGATAGAGCCACTATTCGTTGTTTTTGAGAAACCCATGTAATGGGACTCTTACCAAGAAAGTATATGATTCCGGTAGTGCTTTTTCTGTCATCTGTGTCCCCTGCAAGATCACTATCGCTGTACCCAACTAACTTGTCATTCTCTTGATTCATCCAGTACACACATCCCATGTCAAGTGTCCCTTTGATGTATCTCAAAATCTGTTTGACTGCACTCATGTGTGTGGTGGTTGGGGCCTCCATATATCTGCTAACAACTCCAACTGAGTAGGCTAAATCCGGACGAGTATTAACCAAATATCTCAGGCTCCCAATGATGCTCCTGTACAATGTTTTTTCAACATCTGGTTCACCATCATTCTTACTCAGCTTGCATCTTGGTTCCATGGGAAGGGAACAAGAATTGCAGTCTGTCATGCCAACCTTTTCAAGGATTTTCCTTGCATAGCTAGTCTGGCACATAGTGATAGCCTCAGCATTCTGCTTCACCTCTATTCCCAAATAATGACTTAACAGACCCAAGTCACTCATTTCAAACTTATGCATCATATCAAGTTTGAAATGCTTGATAGATTCTGGATTTGGACCAGTGAGAATTAAGTCATCTACATACACTCCTACAATTAGTATGTCTGCCTCAGTCCTCTTAATGTACAAAGCATGCTCAAACAAGCATTTCTTGAAGTTCAGAGATCTCAGGCACTTGTCAAGCTTTTCATTCCAAGCCCTAGGTGCCTGCTTTAGTCCATAAAGGGCCTTGTGAAGTTTAAGGACCTTGTCTGGATTATCTGAATATGTGAACCCCTCAGGTTGCACCACATAAACCTCCTCCTTTAAATCTCCATTTAAGAAGGCGGCTTTTACATCCATGTGATGAACCTCCCACCTTCTTTGAGCTGAGTAAGCAAGCAAAGTTCTTACTGTCTCCAGTCTAGCTACAGGTGCAAAAACCTCTTTGTAGTCTACTCCATACTTCTGTACATACCCCTTTGCAACTAACCTGGCTTTGTGTTTGACAATCTTTCCTTCTGGATCTCTCTTTAACTTGAAGACCCACTTCAAACCAATGGCTTTCTGATTTCTTGGGAGATCAGAAAGTACCCATGTTCCATTTTTCTGTATAGAGTTCATCTCCAGTGCCATGGCCTCCCTCCAGTTTTCATTTCCTTTTGCCTCTTCATAACATGAAGGTTCTTCTAGTGACAAGAAGCACAAGCCAGCCTCTTCATCCATTTCTCTAGTGGCATCATAGATGCCTTGTAGTGATCTGAAATTTTGGTGTTCCTCATTAGAACTTGAGCTTGTGTATGATCTTGGTGTACTGTAAGGAGAGGTTTGAGAGGTGGTTCCATCTTCATCTTCATTTTCAGTATGTGTTGTACCATTATTTTCAATCCTATCATCACTTATATGAACTGTGAAGGTGGCTTCAGTTGTATTCCCTTCTCCTTGACTACTTTGCCATGACCAGCCCTTTTCTTCCTCAAATATCACATCTCTGCTTACAATGACCCTCTCTTTTACAGGATCCAGCAATCTGTAGGCTTTAGACCCCTCTTCATACCCAATTAGAATGATCATGATACTCCTGTCATCAAGTTTGGCCAGATGAGGTGATGTAGTTTTGGCATGTGCAAGGCATCCAAATACACGCATGTGTTGTACTTTTGGAATCCTTTCATACCAGGCCTGATAGGGGGTCATTCCCTCCACACTTTTTGTTGGGACTCTATTTAGAATATAAACTGAGGTTTTTGCAGCCTCCCCCCAAAACTTGGCTGAAACATTCTTACTCTTCATGATGCTTGTAGTCATTTCTAGGACTGTTTGGTTTCTCCTCTCAACAACTCCATTTTGTTGAGGTAAGTATGGTGCTGTGAGGTGTCTTTTCACACCTTCATCTTCACAAAACTTCTTGAACTCAGAAGAGGTAAATTCTCCCCCCTATCCGTTCTAAAACATTTCAGTTTCTTATCAACCTCATTTTCAGCTAGTTTCTTGAACTTCTTAAACACCTCATAAGCTTCATCTTTACATTTCAAAAGATATATCCACATGAAACGAGAATAGTCATCAACAAGTAACATAAAGTACCTATTACCTCCAGGTGTAGGTGGTGAAATGGGCCCACACAGATCTCCATGAATCAGTTCAAGTTGTTGTTTAGCTCTGAACATTGCTTTGTCAGGAAATGATATCCTGTGTTGTTTTGCCATAGTGCACCCATCACACACTTTATGTATATGAGTTATTTCAGGTACTCCATCCACCATCTTTCTGGTTGTCAATCTTCTCAGGGCCTGAAAGTTCAAATGGCCATATCTAGCATGCCACAACCATGCCTTATCTGCCATACTTAGCATTAGACAGATCTTCTGTGTGGTCTGCAATTTTGCAACAAATAATTTGTTGTCTTGCCTCCTGACCTTGATTATAAGCCTATTGTTGCAATCATAGACTCTTAGATAACCCTCCTCAATGATCACACGGTTACCAGACTCATCAAGCTGCCCCAAGCTAATGATATTACTCTGTAGCTTGGGTATATAGTATACATTGTGTAGAATCAGATGTTCTCCATTCTTGCATTGAAAGAGCACTGATCCTAAACCATGTATATCAATAATGGATCCATCTCCAAACCTTACTTTTCCATGAATGGAGTGATCAATATCTGTGAAGCAATCCTTATCTCCTGTCATATGATTGCTAGCACCAGTATCAAGGTACCATCCTGACTCTTTCTTTGTGTTCTCTTGCATTACTCCTTTGTTGTTTGAGATATTTGATTTAGTTAACTCACAGGTTTCTATCATCAACAATGCTGGTTCTTCAGGCTCTTCCTTTTCAGTCAAATTAACTTGATCTCCTTTCTCTTCTTCTGGGCATTCTGAGGCAAAATGCCCCATTTTTCCACACGCATAACACTTTATTTTGGATTTATCAAACTTCCTCTTCTGTTGTGGCTCTTCCTCCTTATTGTGAGAGCTACTATTTGCTCTGCCTCTTCCACGTCCTCTGCCTCTTCCACCTCTAGTGCTTCTTTGGTCTCTAGTGTTCTCCTTTTGATATTTGTATTCTTCTCTAGCCTTCCACTCTGCCTGAGTGAGTAAGACAGTTTCATCTTCCTTTGAACCATAGCAATGAATCCTTTCTTCATGTGCCTTAAGTGAGCCAATAACTTCCTCACAAGTTTTGATCTTTAGATCTCCAAACTCCTCAATTGTAGAGGCAATTTGTAAGAATTTTGGTGAAGTTGATCTCAGAAGCTTTTTCACCACAGTTTCTTGCTCCACCTTATTCCCTAATCCTCTCAGTTTAGTAACAATGATTTGCAACTTTCCAGAGTAATCATCAATGGTGTCTCCATCAGTCATCTTTAAAGCCTCAAACTCCCTCCACAATGATTGGGTACGTACCTCCTTTACCCTCTCAGCCCCTAGGTTCATGGTCTTAAGCATATTCCATGCATCCTTGGCTGTCTTCTTGACTCCCAACTGCAGTAAAGTGTCCTCGCTTATCCCTTGATAGATGGCTGCTAAAGCCATCTTATCCTTCCGTGTCTCAACAGTCCCTTCAGTCTCAATTGCATCCCATACTCCTGGGCCATCATGAACACTTCCATTTTGATGGCCCATGCAGCATAATTATACTTTGTGAGCATAGGATACTTGAGAGAGAAGGTGTCAGTCTTTTCTTGTGATGGACCTCCATCTTCCCCGGCCATGTTGGATCACCTTCCTGGTTATGCTCTGATACCAAGTGTTGGAAAATCAACGCTTGAGAAAACTGTTAATCTAACACATAATAAAGCTTAGCTATCAAACGTATATGGAGATGATCTGCATCATGCAATCTTTTCTTTTATTAATGGGGAAAAATCCGGTCAAGATCCAGATACAAAAAACCCCATACGCACGCCAATAAATAACCCATGTACAAGTCCATAACTACCTTCCATAACTTACTCCTAAGATCATGCATGTGTGGAGATATGGTTTCCATCACATGCACACGTACAGGAAATTAGTACACAAAAGAAATAACCTCCAAAAAATAAAAGGAAATAACAATATTAATATTTGAGTAAATAAAAAACAAGCTGTAATGTTCACATTATTTATAGCCCAAAAGGGTACTCCTATTAGTAGTTTTTAACACAAATAGGACTATCATTAATTTCCTTAGAAGACTGGTTCATTGACTCCTAAAATTTAACTACTTTTACTCTTTTCTTAATATTGAATGAGTCTAATTTTTAGCACAAAAAGGGATCCATCGTATCAGCACTACACATGAAATGACAGATTTAGGCATGCAAACTACCTCACAAGTATGAGTAAAATCCTTCTGAACTTGAACAATCTCTTCAACTGATTTCTCAATTGAAGTTTCTTTCTGTGGCTAATATTCTTGATAATGGAAATCTGAAAATCAAAAAAATCTTTAGCAAAAGACAAAATCTGTCAAAACAAGCAATACATATACATACATGCTGAAATACATGATAATCGCACTGATTTCTATATAGACTTTAGTTCTTGTGTAATTGTTACTTTCCAGATTTTCTGTGATCCTTAATATTAAAATCTCCCTTGTGATTAATGTAGTTTTAATGTTTTGTTTTACATGAAATATATTGCTGAATAACATTAGTTTGTTCTTAATTTTGACCTTGCATTTGTCCCATTATACAAATTTTTAGGGTGTAATTATATGGTCCTAGTAATGGTTCAGAAATCACCACAGCAGTTAAGGGGGTCCAGACTTCAAAGAAAAATTACTCTTCTGGGAAGAAAATTGTGATGAACTTAGAAGATTCTGAATTATGTGGAGAAGATTATACGGAGTATGTGTTAAGACAAGCCAGATTCAATGCATGGTCATACAATAAACTGCAATCACATTCTGAGGTGTGGAAGAAGGTAAATTTAAGTAATGGCTCCATTATTGGGCAAAGGGCCAGGAGGATGGCCATCTGTCTCATTTTCAGTACCTGCTTTAGGGAAGAAGAGATCACTACAACTGATAGTTCAATTGACACAAATTCAAAAAAGAAGTCTCCCATGGATGAATGGATAATTTCCCCCAATGCCTTGGACTACCCCAAATATTTTTCTTGGCTCTGTTCCAAGTGGTCTTTTTTACCTCCTGTCACTGGTCATGAATTTAGTATTTAGTTTGCACATAATTCTACAATATATTTACTAAGGGTCTGAAAATGGATCTCTTTGATATAAATACAGTTTAGTCATATTCACAAACACCTATTATGCAACATAGTCAGCTAAAGCTTTACACTTGCAGTACAACTATACCTAATCTACCATCTAATTAAGCAAGAATGAAGCGTTGCAGCTGGGTTTGTAAAAAAGAAAAACAGGCACTTCAAAATACATTCTAATTAGTACTAAGGAGAGGACACAGAACTAAAAATGAGAAATAACACTGAATAAGCATTTTTAACCATGCTTTGGTAAAGGATGATTATGCTAGCTGGAAACAATATGAAGCAATTGCATATTAGTTTACTATATGTAGAACATACACTCATTTAATATTCCAATTTCCATGTAGTACAAGCACAATATGATTAAAAAGGATACTTTCCTTTAGTATTCATGTCAACTTGAGAGTGAGCAAACTACTTACTTTGATCAATCACATATGTGAGTTGAGGCAATATTTTAATGGTGAAAATTTTTGACATTATGTGGCCGGAATTTTGAAACTCGATTGAAGCTTTTCTGAAGCATATATATAGTTGAGATAAACATGACATTCAAACTTCTGAACTGCTACTGATCAGTTCTTATCAATGAAACACCCACTACCAGAACAATATGACGAAATTCATAGCTATTTGTTGAGCAATTGCTATAAGTGAATCCTCTGATTAATAATGCTATGTAGTTGCTTGTTGAGCAGCCTGTTATTAGTTAACCTAAAGAGAGTCAAACAAGCTAGAAACATATGATATGAGTACCAAAAAAAGGTCTAAAGTTCATACCTCATAGACATACTACCAATGCAAAATCTGTTTTACCCAGTTCCCTCCGAGGGAGGCTTTCAATGAAAAGGTAAGATAACAGAGCCCATAATAATCCCAAATACCTCTCTGTGGTCGCTAGACTTGAAGCTCTTGGTTTCAAGGTCATGTGGACTAAACCAGTTCTCTTTTGTGTCATAGCAACTGTATTTGAGAGAGGGTGGATACAACTGACCATTTTTTGGAATCCTAACTAATTGAAAGTCAAATTGCATGTTTATATTTCTCTCCTTTCAGTCGAGTCACTTCATTCCTCTCCTAGACGTATTTTAGGCTAAAAAAAGTGTTATTTCGCAAACTTCCAGACCAAGCAATGATATTTTGAAAACTGGTATCCCAACAGGGGAAATCACTACGCCAGTCTAAGAGTATCAACTTAACATCCTAACCAGAAAGGGAAAAGGCAGCGAATTTTCCGCATACACTTATTATTTCAACCTTAGGGGACTCGAAGAAAAGAAGTGTACGGGGGGCTTGGGCGCTTCACTCCTGAGTAAGGCCTCCTGAATCGAATGAGCTCAGTTAGGGATGATTGAATGCATTTCCAAAGGTAGAGAGTACGGGGGGCTTGGGCGCTTTCAATCAAGACCCAACCCAATAAGCTAGCACACTTAATTTGACTATTCCACGCGTTGATAATGTCTGGTCAACTTTGACGCCAATGATATACCTGTAAAACTCGGTATAAATACATAATCCGCTCCGCTTAGCTTTAGTATCCAAAAATCACAGTCGACGAAATACAATCTTCCGGTCACTTATCGATAGCCTGAAGTTCACGCACAGATCAATTCATCCAAATAATATCAGCTCAGAACAATGAATTCTTCAGCCTCATCTGACTACCAGAAGTTTGCACCTTCCGCAGCTCCAGCGCCACCACCCTCTTACGGCGGGGACACGAAGACGGGCATTCCGATCAGCTCCGACGGCTCTTATATGTTACCAACCCAATTCAAGCCTACGGCCCGGGTCCCCTGGTCCACCGGCCTGTGCGACTGTTTCTCGGATCCAACTAACTGTAAGTAGCTTTTATGACTTTTATGAAGTTCCGGAGCATGTGTTGCACGCGCCGCCCTTCACTTCCGTATACTGTTCCCTGAGCTTTTCTTCTTCCTAATTTTGTCGGTCGACCAGGTTGCATAACTCTCTGTTGTCCATGTATCACTTTTGGACAAGTGGCAGAAATTGTGGATAAGGGTTCTAATCGTAAGTCCACTACCACTGAAATCTTACTCTTACTACTTTTATTAGTACATAAAGTTTGTCAAACTTTTTCTATCACTTTAGTTAAACTTGTTAAATTCCACAACGGAAATATTTTATTCAACCAAGTGCTATATTAAGACATGAGCTACTCCTCCTATTAGAGCCAAATAGATCCATAGTGTGGACCCCCTTATTAAAATGATTGACACGATTATAAAAAAATGACAATGATGAATTGACGAAAAAAATGAATGACGTCACGATCCAGACAGAAAGTCCGGTCGTGAGGAGAGGTCTTAAATCTCACATCGGAAATGTTTGATTCAACGAAGTGCTATATTAAGACATGTATTACTCCTCCTATCAGGTTGACCTTTTAGGATGGAACCCTCAGGTCTTAAAAAAACTGTCATAAATGGTATTGAAATAGTTTTATATGAAGTTATTTATGTTAGAGAAATAATACGGTATTAAAAAAAACACTTCGTCTGGATCGTGTCGTTCATCATTGTCATTTTTTATAATCTTATCATCATTTTTCATTAGGGGGCCCCATACCATATTTGGATCTTATACCATATTAAGATTTGGGATTCCGTCCTAAAAGTTTAACCTTATAGTCGGAGTAGTCAGATCTTAATATAGTGTTTAATTCTTTCAGAGATATCCGGTGCGTGACTTCAGCATTTGTTCTGAATAAAAAGACGGTGTTTCCCGTCCAAACTTCCTTCCTTATTCTTTAATTTCCGTGGAACATAGCTTGCATCAAATATTGAATGCATTATTATTGATACATAAAATGAAAATAATTAAGAAAATGTTGGATGCATTGTAGCTTGTGGAGTGAGTGGAGCATTGTACGCGCTGTTGGAATGCGTGACTGGGTGCGCGTGCTTGTATTCATGCTTCTACCGGTCAAAGCTGAGGGAGCAGTTCGCGTTGACGGAAAGCCCCTGCGGGGATTGTTTGGTTCATTGCTTCTGCGAGTGCTGTGCCTTATGCCAGGAGTACCGAGAGCTTAAGGGCCGCGGCTTTGACATGTCCATTGGTATATATATATTTAATTTCACTAATTAATCAAGTCCATTATATTACTCATTAATTTTATAATACAATTACGATCAAAATTAATAGCGATTGATAAAGATTTGCTGGTTTTTACTTAACAGTTGACACTTTATTGTTCTCTTTGTTAAGGGTGGCAGGGAAACATGGAAAGACAAAATCATGGAATTACCATGGCTCCAATAGTTCAAGGAGGAATGACCAGATAATAAGAAGCTTGCATTTTTTTTCCATTTGCTCTTTTAAGTACAACATTAAAATTCTCTTTATTTAAATTTAATTTGTGTGTGCAGTGTGTGAGTTTGCCTGGTCTTTTTCCTTTTATTTTCTTTACATTTATGTATTTGTAATTCACGAATACTGATCAAGGCAATTGATATGTATTTAAATGCTGAGTATACATTATGTGGAACTCTATAACTCTATAAGAATATTTTTATTTGAATGAAATGTTCTGGTCTGGTATGGTCTGTTTAAATATGGTCTCGTCTGATAGATGTCTGGTCTCTGTATATTTTACAACTATCAAAATCTGATCTGTTTTGATTTGGTCTTTTAAAGTTTGTCTGATCTGTTTAAGTCTGATCTGATCTACTCTAATTTGATATAGGACTCTAATAAGTGCAAATAAAAATATCCTAAGTAGTTTTATAGGGCACCATATACAATGGGACAAATAAAAAAAAACTGACTCGTTTTAAGACACATCAAAATTTTAAATGTCAAATAGGCCTTTGTCCCCCCGGTTAGAACCACACTAGGTGTGGGGGTGTGTGTCGGGAACATCTCCCTATGTCCTATGTTATTAAAATAAAGTTGCAAGTACAAGAGAAATAAACAAAAACATGAGAATAAAACTACATCAACGGTTGAAAGTATTAAGAGGAATTCCAATTGAAGTAGAGATGGATCTGTAAAATTTGTTATGGAACTTGATGACCTTCGGAAGATAGGGCTAGAAAGTTATGGCCTTCGGATGAGATAATTTGTAGCGCTTGAGTGCAACTGCTAGTTTATGTGGGAGGTTAAACCTCTCGTCGACCGGCTAAAGAAAGTAATTTGTCTCATTTTGGGGTCTTTTTGAGTTGCTCCTGGTGGTCATGGGATGAGGCTATATCCCATGTGGTAGTATTGTTGTGCATCTTCTGAATCTTCATTTGATATGTTTATCAAGTTCATGATTTTGTTTCTTCTTCTTTTTACTTGTGTAAAGTCTTCGAGGTGTTCCTCTTCATCAAATAGGTCTCATAGGACAACATTTTCCCCGATGTGAGTTTAAAAACAACTTTTCCCTTACCATGCACCTTGGTTGTGTGAGAGTCACCAAGATACTCTTGTTTTTCACCATCTCCTATAGGAGTATAGGAGGAAAAAGCACTTTTATTTTTTACAAATGCGCTTGGTAGCCCCAGAGTCTACCACTCATTCATTCACATCGAACTCTAAGCAAGTTTGAGAAACAACCGCCGCAATAACATCATCACCTTGAATCATATTTGCTCTTGGTCTAGGTGGTTTGTTGTTTCTCATAGTTGCCCGTTTCCTACTTTGTGCTGCAAAATGTCCCGGTTTTCCACACACGTAACACTGACTTTTCTTTTTAAATCTTGTGTTAGATTTAGGCTTATTATAATTAGGCTCGTTATTATCTTCATTATTATTATTATACCTCCTTTGATTAAATTGGTTTTGAGTCTCCACTAGGTTGGCGTTGGAAGTGTATTGCATGATTTGAGCCTTGGAGTCCTCCCTCCTATTGGTGTCTTCAATGATAATGTGTGTGATCACTTCATTGAACGACATGGGTCCAAATTTATGCTTTAGGTCGCGTTTGTAGTCCTTCCATGCCTCGGGCAATTTTTTAATGAGGATCTCGGCAACAAAAAGTTCGGGCAGCTCGATTGGAACGCCTTTGAGGTCCTCCAAGAGCGTTTGATATTCATGAATTTGTGCCTTTAAGTCCTTGTCGTCTTTCATTTCCCATTTGTAATAGTTCCCTATCACAAATTTTTGTTTGACGGTGTCCTCGGCTCTGTACTTGGCAATCATAGAATTCATAGAATCTCATATTTCCTTGGGAACTTTTTTCGTGCAATAAACATCAAACAGCTCGTTAGATAAAGTACTCAGAATAGTGTGACGGCAAACCTTATTCGCGTAGTTCCACTGTTGAAGGAGTTTGATGCCTTCGAGAGATTTGTCGTCGGGCATGGCGTGGGTGAGACCATTGGCAACGCCATGCATATCAAGTGTTGAGAACAAACGTTCTTGACATCTTTTGAAATTTGCCCCCAGAAAACACTTCAATTTTGGAAATATCGAGAAATGGCTTCACATGAACGGGCTGCATGTTGACGTGTGAGTCTGACTGGGCGGAAGAATTCGCAACTCCGTTTGGGGTGTCGGGAATGGAAATGATTTGAGCAGGTGTATCCGATGCCATGATACTTTCTTGAGAATGTTGGTGAGAATTGGCAGGATAAACGTGCAAAAAGCACGCGTTGGAAAATAATATAGCTCGAGTCGCGTAAACGCTGTCCTCAAGAAAGTATTTCCGACTAGCAAAAATATTTCCCCGAGAAAAGACGAGCTCTTCGGCAGATGCCGGTAACTGAACAACGAGAGTAGAAAATTATTTATCGAGTGGAGTGAAAATATTGGGGAATATTTAGCTCAAATTAATCTTTTTCTTGGCCAATCACCAGCATGGCTGAACATCTATATATACTCATTAAACATGAACGTTGCTGCCCAGGTTATAAACGGCTGAAGTTAAAACCTTTAATGTTTTTCGATTAAGAATAACGTTAGAAATTTTCAATGTCTATTATGTTGAAAATCCCTCAAAGCAACGTACAAACGTTTTTTCATGTTTTTCATGTTGAATATTCAATGTCTTTCACCCTCATAGTGCATGTTGATATTAATACCACACATTTGATTTGAAAAGTAACGTACAAACATATTTGTAAAATGATTAAATTAAAATGTTTTAAAATAATTATAAAAACAAGTAAAATTTTATTCATTTGAAATACTCTCAATTTTTCCAACATGTCTGTCATTAAAATCCTGAAAAGCGATAACCTGTATATCACTACAAACAGTCACACACCCATTAAAATTTGCAAAAAAAAATATTTTTTCCTTTTCCAAAATATGTTGTTTAATAACTTGTTTTTTAATTGTTTTGCAGCTATAGTTTCTAAATTGTGGATTTAATAAAGAACCTTGGGCATAAGCACCTAAAACAAGACATAGCTTTTAAATGTTGCTCATCATTATAAACGAAATTACGGAAGAGTTGATCATTTGCAAACCTCGATATTTGTGTTTGGACGCCCTTTCCCTTCATTTTCGCCGCCTCCGTGGCGTTCCTCGATTTCAAGTGCCTTTGGAAGTTGCCGTAGCCCATCGACACTCCGATGCAAAATACTTACGAACAATGTTTGCAATGTGTATACCACTTTTCGTCTTCCAGATTCTTCACCTAGTTAAAATGAGTTGCAAAAAGAGGAGATTAGAGTTTAGATGTCTTACGTTGTTGGGCCAGTTGGGGTGAACCGCCGCCGCCTTGATCCTCCTTGTCGGGGTATCCCCGCCACTTCGTTCCTCGATCCTTACCCCTAACGCCTTATGCCTCCTCCTCGGCGTTGTCGTCCTCCATTTCTTCGTTAATCTCTCGAAGGTTTTCTTGTTGCATATATAAAGCACCCTTGGTTTTGCGATAAGAGTTTCACGAGTTGTTCGTCTCTCATGCAATCTCTACGGTTATAGTCGTCCCCCAATCATCATGGATTTGGGACAAAGATGTCGCCCCAACTTGTCGTTTACCTTTCGCCCGCCCAGACGGATGACTTCTCACAATATCCTTTGAACGGTTGCGTTTGAGATTACTCATATCAACGGATTCCCTACCTCATTCCATTGTGTTACAAAATTTTACAAATATTACAAATTACAATGTCACAACTCAGAACTTCAATTCACAAGTATTAAAATGTAAGTAATTTGATAAAGTGGCTAATATTAAACTGTAACAAATATTAAAATGTGACTAATCTTAAAATGTAAATAATATTCAAATGTGAGTACTATAAAATTCAAGTAATATTAAAATGATAATGTAAGTGATATTATAATGTGGCTAATTAAAATGTAGTAAGTAATATGATAAAGTGGCTAATGTTAAATTGTAACAATTATTAAAATGTAACAAATATTAAAATGTGACTAATCTTAAAATGTAACTAATATTCAAATGTGAGTATTATAAAAATGCAAGTAATATTAAAATGATAATGTAAGTAATATTATAATGTGGCTAATTAAAATGCAATTAATATGCTGAAGTGACTAGTATTAAATTGTAAGAACTATTAAAATGTAACAAATATTAAAATGTGACTAATCTTAAAATGTAACTAATATTCAAATGTGAGTATTATAGAAATGCAAGTATATTAAAATGATAATGTAAGTAATGTTATAATGTGGCTAATTAAAATGTAACTAATACTACGTAAGATAAAGTGACTAATATTAAATTGTAGCAACTATTAAAATATAAAAACATTAAGATGTGACTAATCTTAAAATGCAACTAATATTCAAATGTGACTATTAGAAAAATACAAGTAATATTAAAATGATATTGTAAGTGATATGATAATGTGGGAAAGTAAATTGTAACTAATATTATGAAGTGTATTGGCTAGTTTACTGGCTAGTTTGTCTTCGTGTTTATCCGCTGCCGCAGCCGATCGTCCACGGAGAAAGGAATGGATAGTGTTGTGTGATGGGTGGGTTTGCATAAGAAAGGAGGGAAAAGAGGTCCCGTGATGGCAAGTTGGTTGCTCTGCCGAATAGGAAAATCAAGTAGATGGAAGAAAGAATGAAAGAAGAAAAAAAAGAGTTGTAGGCGTACGGATGAAGAAAGAAAGATTGAAAAAAGAGAAAATGTCATGTTAGTGTCCAAGTCAACTCTTACCAGTGAAATTTTTAATCAATCGGTTAAAAATCAAAGTTGAGTGTTTTTCATGAAGGATAAGTAATTGTCCTAAATAAGACTAAAACATAGATAAAAACTCAAATTATGACTTAATATGTTTTATCCTCCATATAGGAGTCATCCGCTCCTATTATCAGTTTTTACGTTTTCCGCAAAGTCTGAAATGTCCCTGTGTGTATCCTTTTCTCCGCCTCCAACGACGATCTCCTTCTTCTGCGCCATGCTCTTCTCCTTCAACTCCAACATCAATCCTCTTATTCTGCAACCTAAAATCAATCCTCTCCCCTGCAATTCCAATAGCGATCATCTTTTCCTGCACCTCAACAATTGATCCTTTTCTACGACGTCCAGTCCAGAACTCCAGGTTGTTCTGCTACTCCCCTTATGTCCTCTTCACATTCGAACATTATCTCCCAGATTCCTCTCCCTCATCCGTTTTCTTCTTCTTACTCTGTTTTGTAAAAAATGTCTGCTTTGTTCTCAAAATGTCATGGAGATGACATTTCCATATATAAAAACATGACAGTCGTGGAGAATGTCAAGTTGGTGTCATTTTTACTCTTTAGAAATGTCAAATAAAAACTGTCATTCTGGTAAATGTAATGTCAAGACAGTGACATTTTTCCAAATCAGTGTTGAATAACATAGCAATTATTCCATTTTCAGGTCCAATTGGTGAGAAAAATAGTATGAACGATTTAAAGTGAATTAGATGGAATTTATAAAAAAAATGAATATCCAAAAGAGAAGAAAAGAGTAAAAGTGGAAGAAAGAAATTATAGAAGCATTAAAGAAGAAGAAGAAGCTTATCTGGGGAAGTTGCAGAGGTGATGCAGAGACATCCTTCAGTGCAACCTTCATAAGTCGCGAACGGAAGAAAGGTGGCTTTGCAGGGCAGTTTTGGTATTCCATCTATATTTTAGTCCTATGGTGTTAAACAGAAAAGTGATAGTCCTACGTTGGATTTTTTCATAAGTTTTAGTCCTAGTTAGGTAAATTTCTCTTGAAGGATTTAATTGAGTGATTTACAAAAAAAGGATGACACCCCATCCCTGAGGGCCCCCAACTCCGACCGGACGGTACGTTGGGAGGATGTAAATTGTCAAATAATCCCAATCTGACAGATAGAGAGCGGAGCTCTGTCTCCGGTACTTGCAGAGGCCCTATGCATTTTTAGCATAGTAACCCCTCATCGTAGTTGCCGGGATTCGAACCCGAGACCTAACCCTTGTGGTACTCCCTTGCTACCAGTTGAGCTACGCCCACCGGTTAATTGAGTGATTTGTGTCATGCTTGAATCGAGTGTTGGGAGATGTTAATAATAGAAGTGTTAGTAAGTAGTGACAGACTGATAGGGGCCTAGAAGGAAAGATAAGTGTAAGTGTTAGACTTGATCTTACTCTATTTGGGAGAGTTGAAAAAAGAAAGAATGACTTCAATATAAGTCTTGTAGTTTGTGTTAGGGATGGACATATTGGTTTGGTTTAACCGAACCAAACCGTACCAAACCGAACTAAACCAAACCGAAATCGGACCATATGTAATTTGGTTTTAGTTTGGTAGTATTTCTTCCAAACCTATTAAACTGAATCGAACCAAAACCGATAAAACCGAAATAAACCGAACTCAACCGAACCAAAACCGAAAAATAGTATGATTTTTGTTTGGTAACAATTCTCCCAACTCGTTCCAAACCGATCTGAAACGAAACCAATAAAAACCGAACAGAAAACCAATATTCCCACTCCTAGTTTGTGTAGACAAAAATATAATAAATCTCATTAAGAAAAAAAGTGACCATCCTTCAGAGAGAGGCTCTGCATCAATATCGCAGACTTAGCTTCTGCGACTGGCTCCCCATCGTCATCGCCCATACGCCTTGCCATCACTGTCAGTCATATCTTCAGTGCCTCTATCTAATCGTGAAGCTCAGGCGGAGATTCGGATGCTCCAGCGACAATGGCGATGTGCGACTCTGACTAGGGTTTGTTGAGGACGAAGACAACATTGATGTCCATCTTTCACTCTGCCTCTACTCGCCTTAGCCCACGCTCCTAGTCCCTCTCGTGTCATCTTCTTCATCTTTGTTT